AAATACCAAAATATATATTTACTTGTAATTAGGGCACAGAGTCCAATTGGCGCCAAAGGGTTAAAAAGAAAATTAGTGATATTTTTTAACCTAGAAGAACAATATTAAAATCGACGAATACTTTCCGAGTTTTATATATTTTATGAGACCAAACAATGCAATAGTGAAGTAATTTCTCAAAAATTAAAAAATTAGATAATAAACTAATTTTATTTTTAAAATTAACTGAGACTTACTTTATCTAGACATTTTTCGTCATTTTCATAATCGATATAGAGGGCACTGGCCCAAGATGGGCAAAACTTAATTTAACAATCATGAATATAAATATTACAAATTCACAACAGTCCTAAAAATGGCATATAATTCGATAGAAAACTCCATTTAATAAGACGGAAAAACCATCGAAGAAAAGTTTATTAGTCGCAAAATTAGAAAATTTCATATTATATACAATCTAGTTAATTGAGTTCTACTTCAGAATCACATAAATGCAAATGGAATTTTATAGCCATAGTTTATAACCATCACCTTGGCTCAGTTCTTAATTTATTTCCTCCTTGTATATCTCACCTTGGAAATCAACTCAGAGTAAAAAACACACATTAGAATTTTCCAGATAAGCAAATAGCCTCCATCAATCCAGCATGCTGACATTGTTTTCAGCTGGAAGTTTTCCACTCAGTAGGGTTAAATAAAAACATATGACAGTTCAACTTTCATTTATTTATTTTTTTTGCCTCTGTAGTGATTGATGCTAACGAGGTTAGCTGTAATAATTTAAATACGTAATGAGGAGGAGGATTTTGAAAACTCAAAAGCTTTCAATCTTTAAAATTTAAAAAAAATGCCTCTGTAAAGCTTTTTAAATGTTTTTTTTTTCAAACTATTCAAACGATTAAAATAGTTTTATTGCGGTAAACTATTTTTTATTTAAGTAAATTAAAATATTTAAAAAAAACTTTACTTTTACTTATAAATTTAAAATAATTTAACAAAAATATAGACTATTTTTCCTTTGTATTTAAAACTCTTATCGATTATAATGCTTCCATAGTACTTTTAAGGAAGAAGATTCATATCTGAAATATGTTTTCATATGTATTTACGCATTTACAATTTCTAAGATTTTCTTAAGTCAGCCTAATTTTCCGATGAAATATCTGTACTTCTAGCGATTTAATTAAGATTTATATAATCATTTCCATCATTTATAACGACGTAATATCGTTTTTTTTCGCAAGAGTTATAAGAGATTTAAAAATGTATAAAAACAAGTCATTGTTTTATGACTGTACACTGTTAATGTATTGATCCTTTGAAACTCTAATAATCTCTCAAATTTTACCTTTCAATTTATTTCAGATTTAGCTTATAACACTAGATTTCTTTATAAAGAGTACATAATGTTTAAAATGCGATGCAGTAATTTTTTCAATCCTTTTAAACAAATTCCTATAAGTTAAAAATTTTAAAAAATTCAGAGAAGCAATCGAAATTTTATGAATAAAGCACTATTGAGGGGAGATTAGCAGAATAACTACTTTTTTCTCCATTAAATGACATGATAAAACTACTCAATAATGACAAGAATTCAATAACAGGATTAATGTCAAAATTTATAAAAACAATTCTGAATTTTTTATGGGTTAATACTTTTTTAAAGCGTTTGCTATGCCATCATAAGCATTACAAATTTCCTAGCTTTTAAAATGTCTTTAATTTCATAAATTAATTTTTTTTAATCATTCTTAATCCTAGTATAATTAAATGAAACCAATTATTTTACTTTCATCACATTTTATGGAGAAAAGAATATATAAATACTTTTACTCTTTTCTTGACAATCAATGTAACAGCTAACTTCTTAATTCAATAAAAGTGTAAAACTCATTAACGCTGTTATTCGAAGGCTCCATCGTAATATGTAATGATGATTTATAACGAATAATGTGCTATTTTTATAACTGCTGTGAGTTTGCAACTGTTACTCATGACTGTTCAAATTTAGCCTATCTAAAGCCATCGCTGTCAACACGTATTTTGGAAATGAGGCAAAACGTCAATACGGAGAAAAGCCAAAGTTTTGTGAAAATAAAAAGCGTTTGTGGTCTCATTTTTTAAAAATTTTAAAAAAACTTACACTAATGCTGGATTACTTGGGCACATAAAAATTTACAAAAACTGAGAATAAGGCAATGGTTTCTATAATTCTTCTCTAGGTGCAAAAATGTCGAAAAATTTGTGATTTCAAAAAAAGCTTCGTAATTTTTTAAATATTTAAGTTATTTGTCTGTTCTAAAGCTCAGATAATTCTTCACAGCAAGATTATATATCTATAGTTTAAAATCATCGCATTGCTTCAAGTGTAACGCACTATACCATTTAATTTTCCTTGGTGACAGAGCTTCAAAAAACAAAATTAATTCAGTGTCGCGACTAATTGAATATCAAAATTTATTTTAAACTTTATTTTTCTGTAAGCTGCTTAATTTTTCTAACTCCAAAAAACACTTTGGTCTCGAGGTTATATTAAATTCGGTCTTAATGACAATTAAGCTTTAGCCAAATTATATAAAATTTAATATTAGTTACGCTGGGTTAGCTTTATTTTTAGCTATATTATCTATCAATAACTCGCCAAATTTTGGATCGCTTCCCACGCGGTTCCCCGTTCGGGTTTAATATATTTTTAATGTACTGTATCACAATCACACATCTGAAAATGTTTACTCTCTTTATAATACTATGACTAATACCTACACACACCGGTACCATGACTTCGATGTAAGCTAGTGTTTCATCTTCTTCCCCCGTCAGATATAGTTTATGGTATCGCTTGATTTAGTTTCCCTTAATCGCTTATAACGCATTATTATAACTAAATCCGAGTTTCGAATGATAAAACTCACACTCAAATATTTTTTACAACTAATATTACTGTTTTAAACACGAATATTTAATGTATTGAAGCAATAAAACTCGCATTCACTACGATTTGACAATTTAATGAATAATGGTTTTTGGCCTTTTTCAACGGAATCATTTAATTGAATAAGACATTTACTGAGTAATTGAAGATGTTTAACTAATTTTCGAACGCATGCTATAAAGGTTAATGATTATCAACAGTTACTTTTTACTGGAGAAAATTGCTGTCGGCAGGTGTTGATCTTGCTTCAGACGAGACGTGAGTAGACTGATTATTACTGAGAGGTGGAGGTCGCGGAAATGCTCACCGTCTCTCTAGAATATTATTTTTCTAACTTCAATCTCAAAAAGTATTTCATAAATTATTTTCTCGAAAAGTTATACAGTCGGACCTCTATTTAACGAAGTCGCTAAATCCCAATAATAAATTCGTTATATGGAAAATTCGCTAAATAGAAAAATCACCTTTTGAAATACTTAAACGACACAAAACAGGTTTTAAATTTATAAACAGTAGACATAATTAAAATAGCAGTTGATACACCTTTATCTTTCAAAGTAGTATTTGCTATTTATTCTATAAATCTTAACCATAAAATAAATCTGCATGGAAAGCAAGAATAGAGCAAAACATTATCCATTATTTCACTGTATGTTACATTATCATGTCATTTTCAACTTAAAGCTAAATTTATGCATAAAATTACATCTGCATTTATTATAAAAGTAATTTTAAACATGCATTACAACATGCGTTCTTAAATTTAATTGTACTGATAAAATCCGTTAATTTTGTTGGCGTTTTTCGTTTGAAATGCAAGAAAAAAAGGGAAAAGGATTTTATTGCTTTCTCTAATAGTTACGTGACGTCGAAAATCAATTCAAGGGCATTTCCTCTATAAAATGCGTTAACAAGTTTGAAATGTTCTGAAATATTTTGGAAAATAGAGAATTTGGATCTCAAGGAAAAGTTCGCTAAATAGAAAATTCATTTCGCTATTTTGAAGTTATTTTATGAAGAAATTTCCAAAATGTTCTTGATTCCTCGCAAAATAGAGAAATTCGCAAAGAGGAAGTTTGTAAAATAGAAGTCCGACTGTATTTCATTGCTATGCAAACTATTTATATCTCTCCATCGAAATAATTATTCGAATTTCAAAAATTTTATTTCCTAAAATTAATTTTGAAACGCAAGCGAAGTGGAAACACGGAAATAAGTGGAAGTATACTATAAATAAACGAATTATACGCCTTTCGGCCACCAGTTTGGTTACCTTTCAAAATTATCTTGTACAACATATAAACTTTAACCAAACCGAACAAACAGCAGAAATGTATTAAAATATTCTAGTTCTTCATCCCTTTCTCCAAACCTAATACCTTAATTAGTTTAAAACAATATATTAACCAAATATTTTCCTCGTCTAATTGTTGACCACGCTTAACTACTTATAGATTTCAATTTTAACTTTTTTCAAGAGATGTCAGCAATATGTCAAAATTCTTTATAAATGGAAGTTTTTATTTATAATTAAAAATCTGTTCGGTAGCCATTAAATCACACAAACCACCGTAAATATGAGCTTACGGTGGTTATATTTTTATAGCCTAAATATATTTTTATACCCAAAATTCTCTCTTTTTTTCAAACCTAATTTGGAATCTTTTTCATTAACACTTTAATTTCTGCTTTAGCTATCTTAACGAATATGCGAAGCTAAAAGTTTCAAGAATTTAACTGCATTTATAAATTAAAAGTTTGTTGATTAGCGAGTAACTTTCTGACATTCATGAATATCATGTACTTTAGCTCTATATGATTTCTTATTTACAGAGATTAAAAGTACTTTTGAAGTATAGTTCATCAAATGAGAATAGTGTTATGATCAGCTTTTTCGAAAATTTATTGTCACTTATTAGGATTATTACTACGATCTGATTAATAATACTATCCCTATATATTCAAATTGTATAATTTTCGAAAACATGACGAATTTACAGCTTATATTCTAATATATAACTATTACATGTTGCTTTAAAACTAATAATTTTTATATTACACTTTTTAGGGACTTTTTGTCTGAGTCACGCTTGAGACAGATAAGAAAAGAACACGTGATTTGTGAAGAATGTTTTTGTTACATATTTTTGCATACTCGACAAATTATATTGCATAATTTACGGCACCCCTGCCATGTCAGTATCTACAAATGAAGGTAAGTCTACATCAAAAGCAGTGGAACCAGTTGCAAAAGTAACATTTTCACCTTTAAATTCAGAAGCTCTTCTAGTCTCTATTAAAACCGTTGCGGCTAAGCCAGGAGAAGTGATGGAACCTCAGAGACGAAGCGGGTCTCTTGATTCAAGACGTCGGACAAAATCACTGCGGAATCATTCAGAAAAAATTGCGGAAAAATCTACAATGACTGATTACAGGCGGGAGATTTCCGTAGCCTCCCAAACTTCAGCTGATCAACCACTTTCACCTAGTTTCAAAAGAGAAAACTTTATTTCTCAGCAAACACCATGTTTGAAGCACGCAGCAGAAAACATAACCCTCAAGTCAAAGGATATGTCAACAGACAAACTATCGTTATGCAACAATTGTTCAAAGTCTATGTTGTCTTACATATTTGTTGTTCAGGACTTTTTAGATAGTTTAACCAAGGAAATTTGCGGGAGTCTTGAAAGTTGTACTCAATGTATGAGGGAAGAATTGAGGCAGCAAATGATTGCTAGAAGTGATGAAGCTTCGGTTGCTCAAAGTAGGACTGAAAAGAAAGTATCAAGTTCTAGGAGGAAGTCAAGAGAGTCTGAAAGATATGACAGTTCGAAGTCTGCTAAAGATACGAGATCAGACAAAGTAGCTCAAAGTAGTAGTTCTGATGCAAACAGATCAGTGCCTTTTGGCGAAACTCGCCAGTCACAAAGTTCTATTTCTTACCATACACCAACTTCTTCTCCAGCTCTCAATGTAAATGAACAAAGTACTTCGTATCCATCTACATCAACAACATTCCAACCTAATCAGCCTGTGCAAAATGTTTCTCACCATCAAGGTGAACGAAGCATCCAGCATCAGGGTGAGCATAAAAGAACTGATGATCATTCCACAAGCATACAAATAAGTGACCATCATTCTACAAACGTCAGTGATTCAGCAAGAAGTATAAATTCTCAAGAACTTAATGTTCCTTCTTCTAAACAAAACTACCCTGCTTCTTCTCGCACCAACCAGCCAAGTACAGAATCCATTCATCATCCTAGCGGATTGTTTATTAAGCCAATGGAACGCCAACAACCAGATTTAAGTGAAAATGAGTCTTCTAATGAACAATTTGAAGACTCAAACGACGTTTTTCGTAATCCGGAATCTGTCACCTCTCCATTTGGTGAAGCTTCAGAGGAGTTTATTTCTTCGATGACGAGTGCTGAGCGCGCAGTGTACTATTCTGCAAGAAATAAGGATGGTTTCAAAAATATACCTGAAACCCGACAGAGAATCGTAGCACCTGATGGAAGAATTTTGACCGAAGCGTATGTCACTACGTGTAGAAACAACGCTGAAGCACTTGGTTGTCTGGTTGTGGGAACATCTATATTGCTTACTCAAACAAAAAGAACACTGTGCGTACTGGTGTCAGACGGAGTAAGCATGGCATTTAGGTAACTATATTTTATTATTTAAAAGTATATACAAAGTTATGTAAGAAATTAACTATATTTTCATTATAAAACATTTCAAGCAAAAATGAATTTTCAATTTTTCTTTTTTAATGATATTGATTTTTAAGGAAGAAAAAACAGTGTTGATAAAGGTCCGGTGAGCCGAACTTCCTAGTGTCTCCAAAAATCCCTTTATAAACTTTTTGTTAGATAAAAGCACTTAATGATTTATGAACACGAGCTTTGGACACTTCGTTTCTTGAGTCAGAGCTTTAAAATAATATCTAGTGAACTGTTTTATAACTTTTTTTTCACTCTATCTTTCTCCAAATTTAAAAGAAATATTAACTGATTAGTAAAGTGTTAGCAATTTAGTCATGGTAGTCCTAGTCGATACTAAGAAAATCTGAGAGAAGATTGTCAAACTCTTAACTTTTATCTGAAAAAAAAATGGCTTTCTTTTATTTCAATGAGATTTAATGTTAGTACAGTAAAAATGGCTCCAAAATTGCAAAAATCGTAAAATAAAATAAAATTTTTAAAAAAAGTTCAAATTTGTGTCTAACTGTTAAGTACTCTTTTCACGATAAGTGGTAAAATGTTGCACGCTATTGCGTGTCAAGCTTCGGTGATAGGGGAAAAAGGGGTATATGGTTAACATTGTTATCTAGACAAATGCGGTGCTGTTTTCGATACATTGTTTACGCTGAACCTCAGGAAACCAACGAAACAACTAATAGTTTAGAAGTTACGATTTTATGTACAAAAATGTTTGAATACGTTACTATATCAGAGCTATCTTGACAAGTGGGGCATTTTTTCTTGTGTATTTCTTATGCTTAATCGAATGAGATTGAATTGGAATTAATAACATAAACAATTTAGAAGAAAAGTGTACTTAAAAGAAAATAAATAAAAGTCAAAAAATAATTCTTTTATATATAATCCGTACAACTTTTGTTGGCCGATCATTTTGTAATTGATATCATTCATTTTAGCGTTATAAAATACATAGAGTAAGCATTGCTTAATTTGTCTAGATCCAGATGTTCAGATGTCTAAACAAATTCAATATCCAGACAAAAGTTCAAAATTGTACTTTTTTATCTATAAAACTTCATAACTTTTGAACTGTTATTTATAGTAATACGTAGTTGGCCTCATTCAATTCCAAGTAAAAACTTCATAGGGAAATAGGAATAGATAAATTTCTTCTCCATTTACCTCTTTTACCGAAACTCAGCGTAATAGCTCATGAAACTTTTTACCACTTACTACGAAGAATGTGCTTAACAGTTTACCACAGGTTTCACTTTTTCATGCTTATTTAAAACCTCATTTTAACTGCACTAAATGGCAAATAAGCTTTTTTAGGGAAAAATTATTCAAATTTACTTAATTATGCTGTACTTAATTTTATATCTGTGATATTTGCAAATTTAAAACACCTCGCCTTAAATATTCTAGCAAAAAAAACTTGCCACTCAATTTGAGTCAATAAAAGTTTTTCTCATTGCTAGATTACATTTCTATTTTATAAAGTATAAGCTCTTTAAAGTGCAAGAATCACTCAAATGTTTTTAACACTAGAAAGACTGAAATTTAGTATATACCTATATTGCCTAAAAGCAGACAAAATGACTGGATTGTGAATGCGCAAATAAATTTGTTTAAAATTAATTTTTAGCATTTTTTATATTATTTACAGTTATGTAACAAGTTATTAATAAATATTAACTATAAAAAAATATATGTTGTACAGAAAGTCACAAAATTCCAAGAAAATGTGTCATTATATACATCATTGTTTTTCTAATTGAAATTAAAAGCAGTCAAAATGACTTCCTTAGGCAATCTAGTGTTAAATGCATATTTTATTGCTGGAGTTTATGAAACTTTATTACCTTTTCTAGGGAGCCTTTGTCTGCAATTTTTCATGTGGTGCAAACTGTCCGGCAATTAGATTCCTTGGGTACCACAAAACTAGCCCTCTTGGAGCAACCAGATCTAGGGATATCTTTCGATAAGCTGAATGTGTGGAGGCTGAAACAATTCCATAAATGTGTCTATTTGAATCCTGATACATTGGTACGTATTTGTTACACTTCAATAAATGTTTCATTTGTTTGAGTGTACAGAGCTGAATGAAAGAAATGAGATGATAGCAGTAAGATTTCGATTTAGTTTTTTCAGAAATTTTCTGTCACTTTTAACTTTTCCAAAACAGATCCAATTTTAATTATATAATTTGTGTCAATCCACGTAATGTTAAATATTCGAATATTTATGACAAAGATTGTTTTTACCAATATTTTTAGGTTGTTCAAAATTGTGACGAGTTATTTGATCGTGAAGAGTTGTCCGCTGTTCCTGATATTGGCTGGCCAGACTGTTTTAACAGTGGAGTTTTTGTGTATCAACCGTCTGATCATACATTTTGGCAACTACTGGAATTTTCGGACAAGCAGGGAGCCGGCGAAGGTAACAACTGATGAAAATAACTTTTGATCCTATACCTTATGTATGAAATGCACGTCTTAATTATATAAATTTTATTGGAAGTCCTCGTTTTGATTATTTATTAGTGTAGCTTGAAGAGTCTTTGAAATGTCACAGTCTAATTACGCAATATATACTAGGTCATTAACCTTATACTAATCCAGTATCTCGTCTTGATCAAAGTAACATTCAGAAAAATTCGCTAGGTTCCGTATAAGAAAAATAAAGGAACTATAAAAAATATTGTAAGTGTTGCATTGAAGTGTAAAATTTCAAAGTAACCTTTTGCTGTTAAAATGATAAAGCTAAATTTTTCCTCTCTGTCATTTCCACTTTAAAATCAAGCATGATATCTGAATGATTTATGTAGAAACTGTTACTGTACTATTTATGTTATGTAGATTAAAAAATAAGATAATTGCAATTAATTTATCAATGATCACTACGGTAAGAGATAGATAAAATTAGTAGTCTTTCGGGTGCCTATCAAGATTGCTTCTTGTCTAATTCGGAATCACAACAAAAGATCATGTTCTACGTAATATTTCTAGAATATTACTACATCTAATATCCGAGATTGTGCCTGAAGAGGACGCTATATCATGTGAAAAACTTTTCATGACTAATTCTGTTTCACCTCCATTAATTTAAATTTCAGAGAAAAGTGAGTTCATCAGGTAAATCTAGAATAAGCCATAAAATTTCAAGTATTGAAAAAAATATTGAAATATCAAAATTCAAACAAATTAGTGTACTAGAACTTGCCTACAGCATAATCCTAAGTAATCCCTTCATAATTTGTTTGCATTTTGAAACATTTTCCAGTATTGGAAACTTCATAGTTTACTGCAGGTTAACCTAAACTCGCTTTTCTCTAAGCGTTAAATTTTAAATTTCTTAATGAGATAATTTTTACCATGGAAAGTTTCTCTTCGGTTAAGCGCCCTCTGGACGCTTAGTTGCGTTTATAACACCGAAACAGTTGTATGACCTTCCGTCTTTTTCTTCACACGTTTCATGCTGCTCCCTGTTTTATTAAGTGACATATACTCTCAAAATGACTCAGCACTAATTAACTGTTTTTGACATTTAGCGACGCTAAATATCAAGAACTGACTCAAAAGCCCATTTTATAGAATTTTCGTTTTTATTTTGAGAACAAGAAATATTAGTTTACAAGTGCTAAATTCATCACCTTACACAAATATGCAACTCAACTTCACTTTTCTTTCTTTCTTTCTTTTTCTATTGCGAGAATCCTTTGCTAATTCATCCCTAATTTCTTCAGTGTTACTGATTAATAAATGACACGTATTGTATTCGCACAAAATATTATCTGTCAAGACACTTATTAAACTACTTGTTTCTCTTTATTATAATATATATATTTACATTTGATATTATTTTTATTTGCTAAATATTTCCATCCATAGAATGGTTTATACATTAATTTCCTTTTCCTTATAGGCGGTGACCAGGGCCTACTAAACTCGTATTTTAATTCTTGGAATAACGATATCAACAAAAAGCTCTCCTTTATTTACAATTTGATGGCAAATGTTAGTTACACCTACACTCCTGCCTTTAAAAAGTAAGTTCTGTCACAGACGTAACATCGTTTCAGTATAAAAGTTTATATATATCTTGAGAATTTTCCATTTATCGCGTGCAACCTATGCACTATTTTTGCAACATTCATTCCATAAATATGCACCGGGACACGTTTAGCAAATATTTAATTAAACTTTCTATTGCTTTGGTTTAAAATTATATTCGCCTTCTCAATTGTTTTTTTTTTCTTCTTCGTCCAAGGAAATTTACCCCAAAGAGTTATTAAATAAAACATTAGTTATGAGGAAAATCCTATCACTTTTTTAAAGTCCCGCAGTGGACTGATCATTAAGACACGGTTCCCAGCAGATCACCGAAGTCAAGCATCACTGGCTGCGGTCAGTGTGCGGGTGGGTGACCTCTTGGATCAGTCTGCGTAGGGACCGAGGGTGTGCGGTATTGGTCCTCGTTAAACTGTTCTACCGTAAAGTGCTCGACTTCGCGTGCAGGTCGTCGGGCTACCGAAGCAGGAGTGCCATTCTCTCTGCATAGGATCAAAATTGTGATGGCATGTCTTCGGCTCATCCTCAGGGATGTTTCCCAGACCGTCACCAATAGCCCATTGTGCAGCTCTAGTGCGACGTAAATAAACTACAACTACAACACTTTTTTGAAAGAATTCCTTTTCCCCCTGAAAGGTGCGCTTCAAAAATTCTACAACTGAAATGACTTACACTGATTAAGCTAATTATCACGAGTCAGCCTCACTGGGTTCTGATGCTATACACTTTTTACTACAGAAGATGTCTCGAAATTATGGAAGAACACAATTTATTAAGTCGTTCTGGCAGGATCGTGATCAAGCGATTCTCCTTTTACGGCACACGGTAATGGTAAAATATATATGGGACAGGCCGTACTGACTCTGATCCCACATACGTGATTTCAATTTGGTACTTTCGTGTTACTTCTCGTATTAGTACGTATACGTGCGACCCACTCTTTAGTACCTACACTTGGTTCTATACGTACTTAGTCTTTTGTGATGAGAAAAAGGGCCGTCTTTACATGAAAAATTCGATACTGTGTTTATTAGCATTGCTATAAATTCAATCTACACTAGATTTCAATATCTCAGAGCCTGATATTCTATTGTTAAAGTAAATACGTCTTTGCCCTTAGATATTGAACAAAGAATGCACAGATTAGGTCGACCATCAACACTACGAAGTTGTAATTTCGTGAAAATACACGACAACGAACCGTTAAAATTAATAAACTTATCCTGGTTCATGTCATAAAAACAACTTGTTAAAAACTCTACAACTACACCGTAACAGCACTGCAATAAAGATTTCTTCAGTGACAAGCAGTCTTGTATACAGGGAAACAGACTTACTCCAAACGGCGCTTACCACTCACTCTTCTAAACGCATACTTGAACGCTTCACAACACATCTTCATATTGTTTGGACACAATTAACTGAAATATAATCTGCAATATAACTTTTTTTTTTTTTTTTTTAAAAAAAAGAATGAAGCCTGTTTTTTACAAAATTATCATTTTTGATGATTATTTTACGAAACAAACACAACTAAATAATCATTTTATAACAACTATTACTCCGTTCTATAACAAAAATAACACCAAGAAACCTCCTTTAAATACAAAAAAAAAATTATCTCGTGAAACAAAACATTGTAATACTAAGTGAACGTACACCATTTTGAATGCTGAGCTTTCCGGTCGGAATTTGGAAGTGCCAGCTTCGAAAATCGTATTCAGCAGATGCGAATCAGTGAAAGTTTCTCAATTGGCCAAATATTATCTAAAATGCCTCTAGAATACTTAAAATAGCCATTTTTGAGAAGACCAAACCAAATATAATATCTGTATGTATAATTGCGTAATCTCTAAACTGAAAAAAATAGCCTTACTCCTAATTAGAGCTTTCTAAAAAGTATTGAACTCAGATTTCTCATAGAAATTATTCTTCAGATATCTCAAGACATTCTAATAATTTTTTCTGTTACTTCTTCCTGGTACTATAGCCCAGGGCAGGCCTAGGCCGTCCCAACGAATTTATTTCAACAGAGTCTGCCAGATGCTTGTGTTTTTCCAAATAGTTATTTGCTATGTTTTTAAATCTTTTTCAATGTCATCAAGTCGAGCCGTGATGGCTCAGGGGATAGAGCGTTCGCCTTCCAATGAGGTGAACCGAGTTCGAAACCAAGCGATGGCTGGTCGATGCGAATTCTGCATCCGGCTGGCAGCAACCACAGTGCTTACGTGAAATATCCTCAGTGGTAGACGGATCATGAGTTAGAGTCCCCTTGCCGTCAAGCTAACCATGGGAGGTTCACGTGGTCTTCCTCCCCATGTAACGCAAATGCGGGTTAGCTTCATTAAAAAGTATACTCCACGAAAGCAAATTTCTCCCAATACTTGATCCAGGAGTTCCCTTGTCTTCTGGATTGGGTTCAAAATTACAAAGCTACGTTGTTGAACATTAGTAGTCGTAAACCCGAAAATTGGGTCTACTGTTCAACTTAACAGTAAAATAAAATGCCATCAAGCCGAGCAGTGGTGGTTCAGGGGATATAGCGCTCGCCTCCCAAAAAAATAAACCGGGTTTGAATCCCAGCAATAGCTGGTCGATACGAATTTCGCACCCGGCTATCACCGACCACGTCTACAATTGAGGATATTTTTGATGACTCAAAAATATCCTCAATTGTAGACGGAGCATTGATTAGGCTCTCCTTGCCGTCAAATTAACCATGGTAGGTTTTCGTGGTTTCCCTCTCCATGAAACGCAATTGCAGGTTAGTTTCATCAAAGAATCCTCCCTCGAAGGCAAAGTTTCTCCCAAATTATCAATCCTGGGGGTCCCTTATCTTCTGGATTGGGTTCAAAATTACAAGGCTACGGAGTTGAACATTGGTAGTGATGTCGGCTGTTCAAAAACGGTTATAAAACGTCATCAAGGTATCTGAGTGAACGTCTTCCTCATTTTCTAGGGCTACTTGGCTTCTTGAAGATCAATACTTTTGTGAGGGCTGTAATCTTCTGACTGAAATAGCACTTTTAATTTTCATGTCATGCATAGCTTTTTATAACGCAGTTTCTTTACATTAAGTACATAAAATGCACTTTGTGATTGACCAGTTAGAAGAGAATTGGCTTTCACCTTTTCCCTTTAAGTCCAAACACCACTAACAAAAGAAAGTTTGTAAGCAACCATTTCCATTTTTTACCGCACTCATTACATATAAGATAGCTCCTTTACCATTTTTTACCATTTCCTTTTTTTACTACACGTATTACACATGAGATAATTCAATTACAAATTTTATTGCATGCATTATATAAGTATAAGACATCTCCATTTGCATTTTTGCAGTATGCATTACATATGAGAACTCCATTTTAACCTTATACATTAACTATATGGTTGTTCAATTTTCATTTTTGATAATGGGAGACAAAGCATTATGAGAGAGCTCCATTCAACATGTACTGCATGTCAGATAGCTCCAGTCCAATATCAGATTATAATGGACAAAGGTTACGTTACTTTGATCAGAATATACAACAAAATCTGTTATGTCCTCTTAAATTTCATCTATCATATTAAGCTTTAGTTTCAGAATCATATTTTTTTATATTTAACTTGTTTTTACATTTCTGAAAGTGCATTGTATATTTATTACTGCTAAATTTTATGCATAATTCTTATGTTTAAAATTGTATAAACTCTTTAGGTTCGGAAAGGATGTGAAAATAGTACAATTCCATGGTACATCTAAGCCGTGGCACGTAAAGTTTTTTAATGTTACCGGATTAATTTGCCCTCATTCTAATGTCCATCCAACTTATGCAGACTTCGTGAATAAATGGATCAAAATTTTCAGGGGCAATGCTTTGAGACAACTCTCACAGGTAATGTTGTTTGAATTCAGATCCTTTTAAATTTATACCTTAAATAAAGTTGAAATTACCTTCTCTTGTTATATAAAGTTAATACCTAAAGTAAAACTGTAATACTTAATAACTAATTAACTGTGAACTTTTACAGTTTCTTCCAAACTCCGTTCCCTTTTACATCATATATAGTTTCTAAAGACGTTTAATTTTCTTACATTGAGTACGTGTTATCGTAAAATAGATGTACAATGAGTTTGGTGCAACATAGCCGTATCCAGTAGCTATACTATATAACTTTATAATCAATCCAATTTCCACCGAACATAGAAAAGCTGCCTAAATTCTTTTTCAGAAGAGAGAAATGTTTCTTTTTCAGGCATGAAAAAATATTATTTTATCAACTGAAACTTAATTAGTTCTTTTACACGTAGCGTTTAAGCATACACATTTTCGTAATCTTCTCTTGTTCTTAATACTTTAAAATCGTGATCGTGAACTTTAAACGTTTTATTAAAGTTCTTGAAAAGTAACGGAAAATAAACTAATTTAAATTTTCTTTCCCTTTAATGCCAAAATACAAAGATATAGCCACCAAATTACAAAGTTACCTGTAAAACGATTGTCTTACCAATATTTATTTTCGGTTTAAAATACGACTGTTTTTCTATTAATATTTCGATTGTTAAACACATTTATTTTTTGTTTACAGAAAGCTCAAACTTATGCCAGTTCTCAGGAAAAGCTGTCCGCTGTAGAACTTCTTCGTTTCTACCCATTACCAACTGAGTCAGAGTCTGATTTCTTTTTGACACCTGTATCTGTAAGACTCCCCTTGACAGAAATGAAACTTCAGAAAACATCAAGACCCATTGAAGAAGCCAGAAGACGAAAATCTGCTGAATTTTTCCACCGTTCTGACGCTGATGTCGAAGAGGTAGCTAAAGNTGATTGTTTCACTTTATTATAATATGTTTATTTGCACTTAATATTTTTATTTGCAAAATATGTCCATCCATAGAATGGTTTATATGTACATTAATTTCTTTCTCCTTATAGGCGGTGACCAGGGCCTACTAAACTCGTATTTTAATTCATGGAATAACGATATCAACAAAAAGCTCTCCTTTATTTACAATTTGATGGCAAATGTTAGTTACACCTACACTCCTGCCTTTAAAAAGTAAGTTCTGTCACAGACGTAACAATGTTTCAGTATAAAAGTCTACATATATCTTGAGAATTTTCTATTAACAAATATTTAATTAAACTTTTCATTGCCTTGGATTAAAATTATATTCACCTTCTCAATTATTTTTTTTGTCTTCTTCCAACGAAATGTATCCCAAATAGTTATTAAATAAAACATTAGTTAAGAAGAAAGCTCTATCACTTTTTTAAGAGAATTCATTTTCCCCTGAAAGTTGAAAATTTAAAAAGCATCGTTTAAAAAATTCTACAAATGAAGTGACTTACACTGATTAAGCTAATTATCACGAGTCATTCTCACTGGGTTCTGATGCTATAAACTTTTACTACAGAAGATGTCTCCAAATTATGGAAGAACACAATTTATTAAGTCGTTCAGGCAAGATCGTGATATATATATATATATGAGACAAGCCGTACTTACTCTGATCCCCCATACGTGATTTCAATTTGGTACTTTCGTGTTACTTCTCGTATTAGTACATATACGTACGACCTACTCTTTAGTACGTAGATTTGGTTGTGTGCGAGCTTAGTCTTTTATGATGAGAAAAAAGGACGTCCTTACATGAAAACTTCGAAACTCTGTTTATAAGCATTGTTATAAACTCGATCTACACAAGATTTCAATATCTCAGAACCTGATATTCTATTGTTAAAGTATGTCTTTGCCCTTCGATATTGAACAAAGAATGCACAGATTAGGTCGATCATCAACTCTACGAAGTTGTAATTCCGTGTAAAATACACGACAACGAACCGTTAAAACAAATAAACTTTCCTGGTTCATGTCGTAAAAACAATTTGTTAAAAACACTGCAACTACAGTGCAAGCAAAATCGTAAAATCACTGCACTCAAAATTTGTTATGTGACAAGCAGGCATGCACAGTTCTGCATACAGGGAGTCCAACTTACTCCAGCAAGCGGCGCTTACCACTCACTCTTTTAAACGCATACTTGAATGCCTCACAACACATCTTCATATTGTTTTGGCACAATTAACTGAAATATTAGGAAGTAATATGGCTTTTATTTTAAAAAAAAAAAAAGAAATGAAGCCTGTTTTTTACGAAATTATCATTTTTAACAATTATTTTACAAAACAAACGCAACTAAATAATCATTTAAATAGTTTATAACAACTATTACTGCGTTCTATTACAGCAAAAATAACACCAAGAATATCTCTTAAATACAAAAACAATAGTCTCGTGAAACAAAACATAGTAAAACTAAGTGAACGCACACCATCTTAAATGCTGAACTTTCCGGTCGGAATTTGGGAGTGCCAGCTTTGAAAATCGTATTCAGCAGATGCGAATCAGTAAAAGTTACTCAATTGGCCAAATATTATCTAAAGTGCCTCTAGAATACTTAACATAGCCGTTTTTGAGAAGACCAAACATAATATCTGTATGAATAATTGTGTAATCTCTAGGCTAAACAAAATAATCTCACTCTTAATTAGAGCTTTTCAAAAAGCATTGAACTCAAATTTCTCAGAGAGATTACTCTCTTCAGATATCTCAAGACAACCTTATATTTTTTATGCTATTTCTTCCTGGTACTGCAGCCCAGGGCAGGCCTAGACCGTCCAAATTAGTTTATTCCAACATAGTCTGCCAGATGCTTGTGTTTTTCCAATTAGTTATTTTTCAATGTCATCAAGCCAGAGCCGCGGTGGTTCGGGGGATAGAGCGTTCGCCTCCCAAAAAAGTGAACCGGGTTTGAATCCTAACGATAGCTGGTCGATACGAATTCCGCAACCGGCTACCACCGACCACAGTGATGACGTAAAAATATCCTCAATTGCCGACGGAGCATTGGTTAGAGTTCCCTTGCTGTCAGACAAACCATTCCAGGTTTCCATGGTTCCTCTCTCCATGTAACGCAAATTCAGGTTAGTTTCATCAAAGAATCCTCCCTCGAAGGCAAAGTTTCTCCCAAATTATTGATCCTGGAGGTCCCTTACCTTCCGGATTGGGTTCAAAATTACAAGGCTACGAAGTTGGACATTGGTAGTTATGCCGGCTGTTCAAAGACGGTTATGAAAGGTCATCAAGTTGTCTGAGTGAACGTCTTCCTCATTTTCTAGGGCTACTTGGCTTCCTGATGGACAATTCTTTTGTGGGGGCTGTAATCTTCTGATCGAAGCAGCACCTTTTATTTTCACGTCATACTTAGCTTATAAAGCAATTTCTTTACATTAAGTATGTAAAAAGCACTTTGTGATTGACCAATTAGGAGAGAATTGGCTTTCACCTTTTCCCTCTAAGTCCGAACACCACTTACAAAAGAAAGTTTGTAAGCAACCTAGCTCCATTTCCATTTTTTACCGCACTCATTACATATAAGATAGCTCCATTACCATTTTCACCATTTCCTTTTTTACTACACGTATTACACATGAGATAGTTCAATTACAAATTTTATTGCATGCATTACATAGGAATCTACATTTACATTTTTACCGCATACATTACATATGAAATAACTCAATTTTAGCCTTATACATTAACTATCTGGTAGCTCAATTTTCATTTTTGATAATGGGAGACAAAGCATTACGAGAGAGCTTCCTTCAACATGTACTGCATGTCAGATAGCTCCAGTCCAATACCAGATTATAATGGACAAAGGTTACGTTACTTTGATCAGAATATTCAACAAAATCTGTTATGTCCTCTTAAATTTCATCTATCATATTAAGCTTCAGTTTCAGAATCATATTTTTTTATATTTAACTTGTTTTTACATTTCTGAAAGTGCATTGTATATTTATTATTGCTAAATTTTATGCATAATTCTTATTTTTAAAAATGTATAAACTCTTTAGGTTCGGAAAGGATGTGAAGATAGTACAATTTCATGGTACTTCTAAGCCGTGGCACGTAAAGTTTTTTAACGTTACCGGATTAATTTGCCCTCATTCTAATGTCCATCCAACTTATGCTGACTTCGTGAATAAATGGATCAAAATTTTCAGGGGCAATGCTTTGAGACAGCTCTCACAGGTAATGTTGTTTGAATTCAGATCCTTTTAAATTTATACCTTAAATAAAGCTGAAATTACCTTCTCTTATTATATAAAGTTAATACCCGAAGTAAAACTGTAATAACCCAGACAGTTATAGATAAATCAAGTGTACCTCTCATTCCTCGTCTTTGCACAATGTACATTTTAAGCATAAAAATATATTTGAATACCTGTAGTGATATGATTGGTATTATCAATTAATTGGTATTACAAAATTAAAAAATATTTCAAACCATTAATTAATGGTATAACATTGTCATCAGTAATTTCCTTTCTTAAAGGAGTTTAATCAATTTTGAATTTATTAATGAAATTTCCAATGACAGTGTTGTTAAACTCTTTTTTTCTTTTCTGTAACTGATAGTATCAGAGCAGAATAGGAGCTGATTAACCACTTAACGATCGGTTAGTTTTCAAGAAAACTGTCATAAAAATGCCTATTTTTTGGCTTTTGTATTTGTATTACGTATTTGATTAGTGCTGCAACTAGTTTAAAATAAACTATCTACAATTACCTTAAAAATATCCTGGTACTGCCACCAGGTGTGTAAAATGAGAAATTAAATGCTTTCCAGGCAAAAGAAATGAATTAGTTTTATTCTTATTGGCGCGTTACTACTGAACGCTCCAGTCTGTCAATATCACGGGAGCGAGAAATAGAGGGCGAAATCTCACCCCGTCATTTTTACGGGAGCGAGAAGGAAGGGGTTAATCATCAAACAAACATGATTATTAGAGGGAAGAGTATTTAATGAAACCTATTCTCTGCTCTCTCTGAAAAACGCATTTTCCGCCACAAAAAAATATCAAAATACTTCTCTATTTAATAAGAATCGAAGCAAACTATAATGTAGAGAAAAATCGACAAATATGATAATATAGATAGACGATGGAATCGGAAATTACCGACAAGCAATAATATCGCAAGTAAAACCTCGCCGAGAAGGAAATAGAAGAAAACATTTTCCTACAACAATATTTCACTATTTAAGGACATTGGCGACTAGGCTGTTGAGCACTACTTTGCTTGGCACTATTTAACTTGGGGGAGGTGGTGGTATAATAGATATATTGGCGGATAAAAACACTTGTATCAAAGCAACACTTGTTATCGATTCCGAAATATTTAGACCTAAACAAAGAAATTGTCGTTTCAACATGAATACTTATAAATGAGCTTTCGAAAAAGAAGCTCTCTATTTCGCCAGTTAGTAACAAAATATTCTGCTAAAAGCAACATTATTTTAGATTACCGGTTGATGAAAGAGAAAATATTGCGACGAAGCATTGTCCGATGTAAAAAAAAATATGTAAATTAGTTATACTGAAAAATATCACGATAGATCTTGAAACATCAATATTTTTTACGATAAATCGCAATAATAATAATTTCGATATCACCTAGCACTGGTATTCTTTCCCATCTTTAACCTCAAGCTCATGAGTCTCCGGGACTATGGAATAATCTCGCCTTGAGAGTAGAAATGGTCGTCCAGGGAAACAGAAATTTTTAATTTTCCAAACGTTTAAAAATTAATTAAAAATAGTGTAATTATTCACTTTTCTTTCGAATCTTAAATGAAAAAGGAAAATTCACTGCATGTGTTCGTCTAAATTTGCAGTTAATACATACCATGGATTCACGGATGTCACAATTTAAAAATTTCGGAGGAAAAAAGATGACGAAAAAGTGGATTTCGCAAATTGATTTTTAAAAAAATTTTAAAAACAACTGTCGAAGGAAGAAATGAGAATTCATTTGAAAGAAAATAATCTGAAAGGTACTCTATCATAGAACAGAGTTAACATGTCTTATATACTATAGTGAATTGGAATTGTATTTTTGTGGTGGTAGACACACTACAATCGTTATACAAAATACAGGGTGTTTATAAAGTCCCGGACCCATTTTGATGCTTAATAACTCATAAAATAATGATAGATTAAAATTAATAACATAAATAGTTACATAGACTCAAAAAGTTCCATGACCCTTGTCAATGAACTTCCACGTGCTTCGGGCAATGAACTTCGCCGCACGGAGAATATCAAGTCGATAGTCAATTTCACGCCTAGCGGCAAGCATGTCAGCATCCACAGAGGCTATTGCTGTTGTAATTCTGGCTTTTAGGTCATCAATGTTCGACACGATCCTCCTGTACGATGATAGTGAACCTACGAACGATGATACCCACATATACCTTCGTATTCGATGATACCTTCATATTTCCACAACTAGAAGAGCTTCAGCCACGTGTCTTTTTGCAACAAGATGGTGCATCACCTCATCGGGGTATCATCGTTAATAGTTCTTTGAATGACCATTTTCCAGGAAGATGGATTGGGCGAGGAGGTCCAATTTCTTGGCCACCCAGATCACCTGATATAACGCCGCTGGACTTTTTTCTTTGGGGATTTATAAAGGACAATGTTTACAGGAGGATCGTGTCGAACATTGATGACCTAAAAGCCGGAATTACAACCGCAATAGTCTCTGTGGATGCCGACAGGCTTGCCTCTGCCTGGCGTGAAATTGACTATCGACTTGATATTCTCCGTGCGACGATGGGGGCACGCATGGAAGTTCATTGACAAGGATCACGAAACTTTTTGAGTCTATATAGCCATTTATGTTATTAATTTTAATCTATCTTTATTATTTTATGAGTTATTAAACATCAAAATGGGTCCGGGATTTTATAAACACCCTGTATATCTACAAACTTAAGTATACCAAGTACCTTGGATCTTTCTACAAAACCTACTCTCCAGAAATTTATCTTTATTTTAAAACAGGCGAGTGATGTAGCACCAAGGTGCCAAATGAACTTTTACCGTTTCTTCTCAACTCCTTTCCCTTTTACATCAGACATAGTGTCTAAAACCGTTTAATTTTCTTACATTGAGTACGTGTTATGGTAAAATATATGTACAATGAGTTTGATGCATCATAGCCGTATCCAGTAGCTATACTATATAACTTTAAAATCAATCCAATTTCCACCGAACATAGAAAAGCCCCCGAAATTCTTTTTCAGAAACATGTCTCTGAGAAATGTTTTTTTTTTTCAGTCATGAAAAAATATTATTTTGTCAACTGAAACTTAATTAGTTCTTTTACACACAACGTTTAAACATACACATTTTCGTAATCTTCTCTTGTTCTTAATACTTTAAAATCGTGATCGTGAACTTTAAACGTTTTATTGAAGTTCTTGAAAAGTAACTGAAAATAAACTAATTAAAATTCTCTTTCCATTTAATGCCAAATACAAAGTTATAGCCAAAACTATTTTTTTCGTTAAATATTTTGTCTTTAAAAGCATGAGTGTCATGGCTCATATTTACATAAATATTCACTCGACATTTTGACTAAAAAACGAAAATATTTCAAATACCGATTGAAATACGTTGTTAAGTTGATACCAAATTACAAAGTTACCTGTAAAACGATTGTCTTACCAATATTTATTTTCGGTTTAAAATACGACTGTTTTTCTATTAATATTTCGATTGTTAAACACATTTATTTTTTTATTTGCAGAAAGCTCAAACTTATGCCAGTTCTCAGGAAAAGCTGTCAGCTGTAGAACTTCTTCGTTTCTACCCATTACCAACTGAGTCAGAGTCTGATTTCTTTTTGACACCTGTATCTGTAAGACTCCCCTTGACAGAAATGAAACTTCAGAAAACATCAAGACCCATTGAAGAAGCCAGAAGACGAAAATCTGCTGAATTTTTCCACCGTTCTGACGCTGATGTCGAAGAAGTAGCTAAAGCCGATTCAGTACAAACTAAGTCAGATGTAAACAATAAAACAGATGAGGAATCTTCAACCCTCCCAATAACTAAAGGGGCATCTGAAGATTCAGCAAAAGACAAGAATGCGGATACTCCTGAAGAGGAACTTGCTGATGAAAATAACGGCAAAAAGCTTCCAGGAGCTGAAGTAGGAGATTATCAGGGAATGAAAAAATGGGAACAAGGCAAGATGGATTATCAGGGTAAAGATAGCTCAGATTCGGTTGTGAAAAGGCTTAACTATTTAATGTCGCAGCCTAAACAATGAAATTTATTGACTTTGCAAGGTTGTCTATTCTACAAATATCGAATGAGTATGACGGGATTCTTTTTTATATTGTTCGGTTTAGATTAAGAAAATTTTGGAATTTTAAATTAGGAATTTTAATTTAAAATATTTTTAATTAAAATTGAACTGTTTACATAGTTGCATGTTCAGTTTAATAATTTTTTTATCTATTGAATGAATTGTCGTTAATTCTTAGTTCTACAGAAAATAAAAACCTTTTTCATGAGTATCTATATATTCAACATGTGCCATTTGCTTTGTTTTAATTGTCTCTCTCTAACGCACTTATTTATAGAGCTGTCTCACAGAGTCTCCGTTGACAACTATTATTGAAACAATCAGAAAGAACAAATGTATTGAATAAATATTTAGTTAGAGAAATATTAGAATTCTAAACATTTAAAAGTACCATTAAACTCCAAACAGTCGTCAAAAATTTATTATATATATATATGGGCAAATCTCTAGAACCTTTAACCTATGGTGTCTTCAAACTTTTCTTATAAATCTATAACATGATAGGGGAAAATTAATTCTAATAAAATTACAGGAGTAACTATGCATTACTAACTTTAAGATACGTACAGTTTTGATCGCGAGTAACTTGATTTTGACCTTCATTTCTTACTTCAATCCTACGTTTGACGACTTTTCAGGAGTGTCGCTTAGAGAGTTGAACATACTTTTTATCTTTTTTTCAATATGTATTCTGTTTAAAGAAAACTGAAAATCACTAAAAACATAATTAAGTGTATCAGCTGTACTATAATATTATCTTGAATGATATTTTTCGTAAATATTGACGTTTGCAAACACTTAAAGTTTGTCGCGAAATTTTGGCACGTCAAACCGTAACCATCGAAGATTGAAAAAAAAGCTATACAATCCAATTCTGCGAGCTTTATGTTAGTGATATTCCAAAAGCTTATTTAAAGTAGAGCAAACTTGTATCATTATTATAGATGAATATTTTTATTTGCAGTATTTATAAATTAATCGAATTTATCCCAAACTGTCATTCGGTGAGGTAGCAGTAACGATGTCAAGACCGTAACCTGACGCAGATCTAAAAAGTAAATGTTAAAATCAATCAAAATTTTGATCACACGTTTGTCATTGCCCAATTTATTTTCTGTGTTGTGTGCATCGCATTGCGTTG